TTTTTTTCCTCGATCGTAGTAATCGATTATTTCATTAATTGTATCACGTTTTAACAATGGAACAAATCATGGGATAATCGATTACAATTTAATACTTCCATGACCATTGTACAATGCTCAGAATTGGGCGTGTTAATCTAGAATTAATGTATATATGTATATACAAATGTTCCATACGGTATGTATATAATAATCATTGCGATAACGAGATATATTTGTTGCGGCAGTCATCGTTTCTTATTATTATCATTAGAATTTCATTAATATTATATGCACGAATGGTACAATATATTTTCGCCTATTCCTAATAGTTGTATGTAAATAAAAATTATCTGCTAAATACATCGATCAGTCTCACAATCGTTAAATCTTTAATAAATTGATGTAAAAGTTTCCCTTCCTCTGTTTTCTGCAGTACAATCACGATGGGCAAATCATCGTCGTTATGATCATTACCATGACCATTACCACCACCACCACCACCATCATCATCATCATCATCATCATCATCATCATCATCATCATCATCATCGTCGTCGTCGTCGTCATTGTCATTGTCATTGTCATTGTCATCATCATTATCATCGTCATTGTCATTGTCATTGTCATTGTCATCATCATTATCATCGTCATCATCATCGTCATCATCATCGTCATCATCGTCATCGCCATTGTCATACATATCTTTCTTTATCATCACGACTACTACCTGTTCTTGCGAGATCGACCTTCTTATTGAACATATATTTATATATGTTTTTCCATACCATATCATGCCTCAAAATTATCATTCCCTTTGAATCTCTGTCTCTTTCTCTCTCAATTTATGTGAATTTAAAAACAAATCTAATACCATACATACGTATCTGTAACTGAAACTTAATTAATTAAAAACAAAAAAGAGAATATAAGAAAAAAGAAAATTGGAAAAAAAGAACAAAATATAGACAGGGATAAACACCGGCTTGTAATAAGTAAAAATAAAATAAGGACGTACGAGAATACTCAGAATTTTTAAACTGAGAGACGCACCATAATTTTTTTAGTATATGCACATAAATAAATCTAATTATATAAATTATCATGCCTCGGTAGATTACTTAAAATTATTGAACATAAAAAATCACCATATACGAAAAACAAATTACCCTTCGCTCGTCAGACAGATTTTTGTGTACAGATCATAAGACTGATTTTAGGATTTTTCGCATCGAGCCATTACGATCTCTATCTTTTTTTAAATTTTAGTTACACAAAAAGTCGACGTAGAAAAGAAGCTTGCACAGGATATTTCTTCGGGAAGAATCGTTCGTACGTTTCTCATCGCAAAATATTTTAATATCGGAATCTGCCAGGTCACTGTAGTAAAATACTTGCACCATTTTTTTTGTTTTCTCTCCCTCTCACACATACACACACCAACCAACCAACCAACCAACCAACCAACCAACCAACCAAACAATCAACCAACCAACCAACCAACCAACCAACCAACCAACCAACCAACCAACCAACCAACCAACCAACCAACCAATCAATCAATCAATCAATCAATCAATCAATCAATCAATCAATCAATCAATCAATTAGCAATTTTCATTTTTTAAGGGACATTTAGTGAAAAGAAGTGCAATTCGACAACCAACGATTCGCCAAAGTCACGCAGTTCTTTTGTCAAAATTATATGTTTATCGAATATCGTAGACCATAACATCTATTTTTTTTCTTTGTTTTCACATTCCGAGTACTTCGCAATGTTAACATACTCGATCTATTTAAACAAAGCATTGCATATCTTGAATTTTGATATGCATGTTGTATATTTATATATGATAAAATATTTATATAAAAATCATTAATAAATGTTAATTTCCACCTACAGTTTGATTTTTCTCTATCTCTTAAAGAATTTTCTTTCATATATATTATTCCGAGAGAACAAAAAATTAATAATGTAAATTTCGAGTGATGCATATCAAAGACATTTTGTATGATGTCTTCATTTTCTTAAAATATTTGTACAAATGTTTGTAAGATTTATTGAAGTAATAAAATAATCAGTCTCGAGAAAGAATAGTATTCAACTTTTAGAATTTTCAGGGTGAACAGGTCTACAATATTGTTAAAAGTAGACAATAATTTATATTTATTTGTAATTAAATATTATAAAGAAAATCCTTTAGGAAGACAAATAAAATTTTTAAGTACATCACATTTTTTGTTTCTCACAACATATTCTCGAGACATTTCAACATATCTCACAAACTGTACTATCTAAGAAATTTATTTCTTCAAGACTCACTCTAAATCAAACCATATTAAATATATATCAATTACTATATTTCTTTGTACAAAAAAACATCAAATTCAAATTACATGATAGCAATGCATGAAAAATTTGTTTTTTTCTTTCACTTGATCAGTTTCTCCAGAGACACCTGAATAATCATAAATTACACATTTCTTTTTAATTTTAGAGTAATATTATTATATTTATGTAAGATAATTTGATGTTCTTCTGCAGCTATTCGCAATAGATCATACGTAATGCTATGTTTAATAGCTGCACATACAATATATCATATATACTCTTTAATTAATAAAGTATTAATTCATCATCCACGTTTTCACTTAAAAACACACGCAATTATTTGTATTTTTTACGTATCACGTAATTATGTTACTTTGAATATGAGACCACTTTTCTATTCATTACAAAATTTTCTTATGTAAGCTTATTTTAATGCTTCCCTAGTGTTTAATCAATCTGTGGGCACCATTTATAATTTTCTCTTTTCTTAAGATGTAAATAACTCAATAATATATTAA